GTTAAACGGCGATTTCTCTCATTATTATAATTAGTCCAGTCAAGGAATGAGGTGTAGAGTGCGTGAGCAGGTAACTAAGCGATTCCTTCAGAAACTTGTTCAGGGGGCTTACGGTGTTAACATACCAAAAGTCCTGACTCCTAGGTGGTGAGCCAGGTGGTGGAGGGGGGAAAAGGGGGGGGAGAAAGGTACGCATTTTGGGTTTTTTGATTATATCTCGAAAACTATCAACTTTTTGTATACTATAGTAAATTATAAAATTGAAGAAGATTAAATTTTCTACAAGAAAAGTACATAATGTGTTTATTTTGGTTCAACAGATTACGAGTTATAACTTATTTAATTGATATCTTATTAAAATCTCCTTCCATTAGAAATACATGTAAATTAGTGTGCGAAATGGGGCGAATCCTATACGCCCAAAGGAAATATAAATTATATTCTGGAAATCTTGACAAAATTTCCAGTAATTTGACACTTCAATCATTAAAATTGATCCAAAATTAAGGCGAGGGCGAGGTAACAAAATTTCGAGTTTTGGTGTTTTTTTATTGGAAATACAAAAAAAAAACCTTAAATCATCCCATTTTTAAACGCTCACCCTCGCTTTAATTTTTGACAAAATTTCATGATTAAAGTGTCAAATTACTGGAAATTTTTTCAAGATTTCCAGAATATCAGTTATATTTCCTTTGGGCGAATAGGATTCGCCCCATTTCGCATACTAATTTACATGTATTTCTTATGGAAGGAGTATTTTAATAAGATATCAATTAAATAAGTTATAACTCATAATCTGTTGAACCAAAATAAACACATTATGTACTTTTCTTGTAGAAAATGTAATCTTCTTCAATTTTATAATTTACACAAAAAGCACAAAAGCTTTTTGTATACAAAAAGTTGATAGTTTTCGAGATATAATCAAAAAACCCAAAATGCATACCTTTCCCCCCCCCTTTTTTTCCCCCTCCACCCCCTGGCTCACCACCTAGGAGTCAGGACTTTTGGTATGTTAACACCCTAAGCCCCCTGAACAAGTTTCTGAAGGAATCGCTTAGTTACCTGCTCACGCACTCTACACCTACTTTTGGATCATTCATTGACTGGACTAAATCAGTGAGTTTGGTTCAAAGCTTTCTTTACTAGGACGCTAGGCACAAGACCAGGATGTTTTTTCCTAATTTTTTCCCCTTAAATTTATTTTAGGTGTACAAATACAAGTATTTTACATGTATCATCATGTCAATCAACAGTGTTTATAAGTCACGGAACAAATAATGTTAATAAATTTAGTGCATGACGTTTTAGAAAAACCATGGTGACTTTGTTTTATGTCCTTTTACATATATATGTGGATTTACAAATTTAAATTACATTATATATCAGTTTTGACTGCAGTTTCCAATTGGCAATAATACCTTTTGTTTGTATATAATCAGTTGGGAATCCCAAATCTATTTTTAACAACAGAACAGAATAATTTTGTTCAGAGCATTTGTTGTCTGATGGATTCAGTCTAAGTTTTATATTTGTAAATTGATTGATGACAATTGGTCAATTTGATGTAACCGATATGAAACAAGGCGATATTGAAAGGCTTATTGTAACTGCTGCCGGGCTAGAGGCTTTGTTCTGTACATTGAATTGGCCATATTGAACTGGACCATACATGTTATGCAAAAAAAGGAGTAATAGTTGGAAATTAAATTATATGTTTCGGTAAGTTTATTACTATAGTTTCCAAGTATTACAAATATGATTTCAAGGCTACGTATAAAGTAAAACGTTGCTGGACCATAATCAAATTGTAGTTTACTCAAAGCTCAAAATATTTTGCAGTGAATATAAAAGGGATAATGTGTAAATAACCTAAATTGTTATAATTTGACATTTAGGTTCCAGTCTGTGATACAAATTCGTGTATAATGTGTTGGTGCATATTTTCCCTTTATTTTTCACATTTTAGGTTTCATAAATGGGTGATTTCAATAGAAATAAACGCAAAAAATCACACATCTGTTCTCTTTAGGAACTCTGAGGTTGTTAAACGACCCTAATGATTTATCACGTAGGTTTTGGCCGAAATATTTTGCCAAGCGTTCAGTTTGTTCTGACATTTCAAGAGTTTTTGGTTATTACCATTGTTCTTTACTTTTTACCTTGTGTGGAAGATTTTTGTGGATGTATAACAATGAAAACGTAAATTGATAACAAGATATAGTTGATAACAAGATATATTTTCCTTTTTTAAGCTATATTAACCTTTTTACCTCACTACCCTACAATTTATTCTTTTTCACTCTTCTAAAAAGGTATGTTTTCTATAAAAATTTGCATATCTTGGTAAAGCGTACCAAGGATAGATTAAATAGCTTACTCCTTTAAGTTTTATTTAGTGGCGATAATAGGCCCAGGTATTAAAAGCTTCACACATATTTCCAAACTTGTATTTTATGGTCCCTCTTTGATATTCAGCAAATTAAAATAACAATTATATCCATCAAAGATTGTCTATATGAATATTTAATTTGCAATGATTGTTTGGACCTACAAAACAAGAATGTTTGTCTTTTTAAACTTGAAAAGTACAATGAAACTGTGTGTATAATAGCTTAATATAAATTAAGTTCTATGAAAACTGTTGAAATTCATGTTCTCCATTTACAGAACAAGTAGATAGAAATATACAACAGTAGCAAGAACGTAGTTGTTTAGTGAAATATAGCCCAGAGCAACTGAAGTTTAACTCGGTCTCATGACCACAAATTTATTTTCCAGTGATACACTCGCCAACTCTTCAACAAATCATAATACAAATGATAACCGTGCCTAGTACAGTTGGATTGTAAACCATTTTAAAAGTAATTGAAAATCTTTTTATCCCCGCATACCCTGTAAAATAATTTTAATATTTATTTACCTAATTTAACTTCCGTAGTTAATGCAACAACTTGAAATCAATACTTTGTCCAAAAGCACTCTTATATTTAAATCAGTATTTTATATTGATTTAACTTAAAAACGTATGGCACAAGTCATGAAATCGAAACATATTAAAAACAGGAAAGTTATAATTGGTTAATAAATTAATGTGGTTCAAAATAGTCTTAAGGAGAGGTAAAACATTCTTAAAAATTGTGATGTTTATGTTTTGTTTTCAAACCAAAATACACTCACATAGTACAATATTTTCGGACTTCAAAGTGAAATGGTATACATACAACAAGCTCCCATGTAGTGGTATTTATTTATCATCTCAGATATAAAACACACGAATACAAGTAAATACAAAACCTCTTGTTTATGGTTGTTTCACAGTTAGTTGATGTAAGAGATTTATGGTGTATATTCTAGACAACATTTTGTCTTCACAACGTTTGTTCTGGCATTTAAATTGTTTATGGTCCTATCCACCCATCAAGCTAAATTTAAATTGACAATATTGACCTTTCAAATACAAAAATTCTCCTTTTAAATGTTATTTTCTTTTGTGGACATCATTAAATAAGTTTGCATGGAAAAACTTACTTCTTTAATTAAAAGTCAGGCTGAGAATTACATTTTCATTAGTTGTTTTTTTTTTAACGAACGATTACTTTTGTTCCAAGAGTAAATACAATACAAACGATGATATACACTCCTACACAAACGATACACACTATTAAAGCGAGTAGGTGAATTTTAATGGCAAAGGTGCAGTTAACGCTCTAACTCATTTTTAAAATGCCCCAATTTAATTTACTGGGGAGCGAGCTGGTGTAGTAGTTAGAGTGCGGGACTTCAGTCACTGAGATCCAAGGTTCGATCCCCGCCAAGTCACCAATGGATTTTATCAAAGTGATAATGCCATAACCCCTAGGTCTAGCCTGAAGTAATGTGAAAAACAATCCCAGGCTCGCGCCTAGCGTCCTATGACAAATACAAATAATTTACTGGGAAATGCTATTCTTTATGCATTTTTTAATTGGCAAAATTAATACAATTGTTTTATTACTCCAATTAAAACGGAATTATTTTCAGGGTCCAATTAAGAACACGAATAGTAAATTAGATCTATTAACCATATTATTTACTACATCATTGGTTTATCTATTCCCATAAGATAGTATCAAGTCTATATTGTATGTACCGATGGGCATTGCTGCTTGAGGTTGGATTATAGGATGCATAATCAATCATCTATCGATTCTAATAAAATTGAAATATAAGTTAAGTGAATACTACAATTAATGAGTGATCAAAACCGCTTGGTTATATATATGTCAGGCAAAGCTGAGGGAGGTCGGCAAATGAGTGAGGGCAAAAAAGGCACTTAATTGAGCGCGTAGTGAACTATATTTTCGTCATGCTTTATAACTCATAGAAAAAAGGATTTTTAATTTACGCGTATGAATTTGATTACGTGTATGAATTAGCTGCCGTAATGGTTCCTTTCTTATATTGATATGACATATAAACAAGTTTTACTAAAATTAGATGCAATATCTAAAAATGGATTTTTAACTATTTTTAATCTGTCTAATCAATGATTGTGCGTTTGTTAATACAGGTATGTATAGTTAAATAGTCAATAAATTGCAATGGCTTGAATAAAACATAAAACAGAAATCAACCTTACGGCATACAATACACAGTTTAATAAAACAAAACTTTCTAGAGCTATTTGAAGTAAATACAATTTTCATTCGTTTTGATTTATACTGACTTATAAGAGTTAAAGATTCGTATAACGTAATTTTGTTGGACTACTCATCTAATAGGACAAGGCACATAATTATTGCAAAGAATGTGATTTAAATTTTCAAGTTTCAAATGTTGACACAGTCTGGAATTCGGTTTCCACCCATATTTTTGTGTATATTACTTGGTAAAAGTACAGTAAATATGCACTTTATACTTCACATGTGAGAAGGTTGTGATGAAAGTTTAAACATGTGTAATAAATACGATTATTAATTCGCGCCATATGTTTGTTAGATAGACGATGCCTACGGTAATTTTTCACTAACCAATTTCACAACCAAACTACGTACTGTATATCCAGAGATCCAAATGTATGTGCGCGTCTAGTTCGACCCGTATCCCTGTACTATGAAACTACTATTTACTGTGGTTTTTGGATCATTTCTGGTAAGATTTCATATGTATTAACTCATTTGCATTAATTACCCTTTTCACAATATCTAACATTTGGTGTTTAATTAAATATAAATTAGGTTTTTCATGTGTTTTTTTACTGTTTATTAAGTATCACGAATTACATGTGTGTATTGAGTTTCATAATCTAATTTCATGAGTTAATGTATAATGCTTTAACTGATATATACTTTTCCTACTTCATAAAAAAAAACATTATGTGAGAAAATTATATTTCCATTGATCCCATTTTTAAATCACAGCTATATCACTTTGCAATAAATAATAACGCATGATAATTGTTGTTTTAGCGAATTTTGCTGTAGGGAAGTAGCTATTACCGTAGGTGGCACGGTTTAGGCTCCGGACCGATTTACTTTTTCATTTTGATGTTCCCAGACGCCAAAAACACTATTCGTTCGAATTTGTCTATATGTATGAATAACTTACGATTTTATATGATTTAGATATATATTTATATATATGTAAGTGTGTCCGTGAACGCGATATCTTGAGTAATTTTTTCTGATTTTGATGAAATTTGGTTTGAAGGTGTAAGGCGGGATAAACTTGAATGAGATCGCTAACCAACATGATCGGACGATAGGAATAGGATTTAACGGGGGTTTTATAGGGTAAAAACAGGGTTTTCTAATTTTTGACCCTCAAAACACAAATTTTCCCCTTTTTTCTGGACAATTTTAAAGAGCTTAAAAAGACAAATAATTTAGTATATTGAGATGTTTTTGAGCGGTTTTTGGTTATTCTTTTGGAGAATATTGTAAAATGTAGTTTTTTATTGTTTAAAGATATATTTTGATTAAACTTGGCAAATGTGTTTATTTCATACTAAACTAATTATATTTTACTAAATAAACACACTTTATTATCCTCCCTGTTAACCTAGGTACTCGTTTAACCTAATACCATTGGAATTGATTTAATTGTGTATCAATTCAGGCAAATGGAAATTTTCTTAGTCTGCAGGTTTGCTGTGGTGGGGGTATTTTAAATAACTTTTAAGCCCTTCAATTGGCGATGTGGCTATAATAGTCTCAATAGTTTGTGTCTGATTGCAGATATTATGATATTTGCGTGTTGTAAGGTTTATATGACGCTATTCAAAAATCCATTTTCAAAAAAATGTTTTACCTCTATAATACTCTATATAAGGCGCCTACCACGTCACCAGTCAAGTCACTAGCCACGTAGCCAGTCGGAGTCGCGGCACCAGTCACGTCCCCAGCCCAGTCACCAGTCACGTCGCCTACCACGTCGCCTACCACGTCGCCAAACACGTCACCAGCCACGTCGTCAGCCACGTTGCCAGTCACTTCGTCAATCAGGTCACCAGTCAATCGAATTTATCAACAGTATTTAAAAAAGCTTACGTTTACTCCCTAGCGACTAAAAATAAAAATACGTTTTACCAGGGAGTAAAAGAACTGCTTTACCCCCTCACCGTATGTATTAAAAAAGCTGTATTTATACCCCTACCATGATTGCCAATTAGGTAGTATACTTTAATTTGGAATAAATTCTATGAAGCTGGTAGTGGATGTGAGTTTAGTTAATAAGACAAAATAGGCCAGAAGATATATATTCTTCTGATGTTCAAAATAGATAAAACTCTCTTTCATATATAAAATATAATTACTTCTTTCAATTCCCGTGCTATATTATAAACTTACTATTTACTAGAGAATTTGAGAGTCGCCAACACCAGGGACCATAAACTTAGGTTTAAATTGGCTTTCTTCAAATAAAAAAATAAATTAATAAAATTGGTTATATCTTTCCTTTTAATCTTAGCTACTGGATTAGGTGGTCTCTTGAATACACGAAACTTGAAACTAGAAACTTCAAGTGGTTGATTTCTGTCTAAAAACACCAAACAAAGGCGATAAATAATGTTTCCTACAAATTAAAATAATAAAATTGGATTTAAGATCCTTAATACGCTTTGTGAAAATTTTCTTCTCAAGAACAACAATCTACAGGTCTGTCTGAACTTTGCAAGTCTTCTACTCTTGTTAAAACTTATTAATAATGATTTGAAAATTATACTCTACTTTACTTAACAATCCAAAAATGATTTCTACAAGTGCTACATACAATAATTCTCCGAAAACTTACTATAAAAAAATATTAAATTTTACTTACAACTAGTTGTTACCCACGGGCTTCGCCCCGTTTGACTTCATAAGTATTAATAAAACTATTGTTGGTTAGGTTAAGCTGAAATAAACAAAACTGAATACAGTAATACAAACCAATAATCTCACCTGATTTTAATAAGGTAATAAATTGAAAGAATAACATACAAATTAATACAGCTGAGGTATTTTTAACATTAGTCATATGGAAAGTTCCATTTGGAAAGCAATAACGACCTTATAGGGCAATTTAAGAAACAATGGATAGTTTTGCGCAAAGTTTCTCGTCATGACGCATTTTAAGTATATGGTTTATGGGGGTGTGACTTGTATTTTCTCAAAAGTTCATAGGTACTTTTGGCTTTATATATAGATATCTACAGAAACCACTTATTTCCAGACCACAATTTCCAGTAAACTTAACTGACAAAAACTTGAACTGCTTATCATCTAGAACTACCAACCTACAAAGTAAAATACTCTATTTTATATCTTTTTCTGTCTTACCAATGATTAAAAATATAATTTTGTTTTTTGTCATTGCAAAAAGAAAACTGAATTTATTCATTTTACCTCGGTACAATTTGCTGCTTTAAGAGGAGGAAAAGGTTGTTTAGCATCGCTGGAGTTTTGGAAGTGAAATCTAGAAAATCTTCAAACGGAAGTGCAAAGTCCTAAAGGACACTCCGATATCGATGTATTACACCGACCAAACCGATAAATCGACTTCCAAATAAGATTAATAAAATTAAATACGATTTTAATTTGTTCAAAAAACAAAAACTAATTGAATTTTATTGTCTGTCAAATCAATACACTGTTTTAACCTAATCTAACCTAACCTGACCATCCTCAGCTTAGGTTAGGTTAGGTGTGGTCGGTATAACACGTAAGTACTGAAACTCCTTTTTTTATTTATATTCCTCCATGTACTATGTACAATAGGCCTAAAGTATCAAATGATTTTCCAATCGTAATAATCGATTAAGCAGGATGACCATACGATGTTACAGAGAATACCTGATAATTGGCTGATAATTATCCACACCATACAATTGTATATTTTTACAATTATTTAAATATTTATAACACCCATCTTATTAAATTTCTATTTAAATGTACAGTGATGTCCTGAAATGCTAGTCAAAAATCAAAAGTATCAAAAAAATATCTGTTCAATAATATTAGCACATCCCATACAAGTCTATATGGAATTTATGATAAGTATAAAAAAAGATAGTTTATTTTGTTACACTACCTGGTCAGATTTATTCACCTTTCAAACAACAGTAGATCTAAAGGTTACTTAGGTTTTCTTCTATAGCAGGTAAGTAAAAGGGTGTTTTAGTGAAATGTAGCTTGGTATTGAATAAATAAATTTATTAAATTGAATCAAAATATGCCGATAAACAAGTAAACTTTTATTTTCCTTATTTTGTTACATTTTACTTTTTCTCTATGAAAATAGCATAGAAATTTAGAATGTACAGTTTTGTATTTTCTCCGTTATGTTAATTTCTACAACAACGGTTCCTTGTACAGTTTGGGCCCCACTGTTTTCAAAGAAAATTTGGCATTGTTATGTTGAAAAGAATATGAAAACTCTAATTTTTCACGCATGACCCCATCTTGCTGGTTCAAAATGTTTGCGATTATTATGTTTATGTTTATCATTTACAGAATTAATCAGAATAAAAAACATTTTGTTTAATCTGAAATGGGATGATTCTGTTGCAGATTTGTCAAGGCTTAGCTGACACTGGATCCTTATCGAAGGGGGCGGAAATCAAAGGCCATGGTAAAACCAATATTCAGTTAATCAATGTTCATTTATTTATACGGTTACTTTAAAACTTGTAACAACATGTTTGCGTGTGTGTGTGTTTGTTTGAGTGTAAGAGGTGTAAGCCTGCTCCAAATTAAAACCACATAAAACTTGAAACTTACAATTTTTGAATCTACGTATCAATAGCGCTAACGTGGGTAACTCTTCTTGTTCTAGCGTAAATTTTTTAGGACTTGTCATTGACATTAATTATAAATATTTTGGACACATTGAGAACATTTACAGCAGATTTCGCACTACCAGTAGTAATGCCCTTCACAACTTCTCCATTTATCAAGATAGACGTGTCATCCTTATTCCACATGTGTGTCCGTTTGATGTAATGACGACCGTCAAACATTGGGGTCAAAGTACAAAAGAGTAATCAGATTGATATTTTATCTCAAAATTACAGTCTGTTTTGAAAGTATTTTTTTATTTTATTATAATAGTACACGAGTTTTTATTTTCAGTTATCTATGTAGATCCATACAACTCTTATAATTATTTTCTTTAATATAATCATTTTGGTTTTACCAACAGTTAATTAGGATCTTTCAAACCATATTTGGATATATAAATAATAGATTTATAAAAAGTGTATAAAAGATCTAACTATAAACGAACCCTTATTGGTTTATAATTTGAATTAAACAATTTGTTATCCTAGTTGAACCATTGATTGACTTTGGTGATTCCTTCTTATTTTGTCAGTACTTAAAAATGTTACGATGTAAATAAAATATTTCCGTTTTAAAGGTCATCAAAAAGTGGAAACAACTAACATACTTTAAAATCTTTCACCAAATTCAATGACACTAAGCTAGGTAAAAAAAAGATCAAGTCTATTTAACTGGATGAAAAAGGTGTTTCCAGTTTTGTCGTATCAATATTAAAACTAGCACAGTAAGTTAATGCTATTTATTTTTAATGAAGCTGTATATTTATCTTTCAGTTCTGGACTTTCCTCTACCACGAGATGAGTCCGAGCATTTTAGTTCATTTCAAGCCTTGCCGAATCACATCGACCCAGAAAATAAACTGAAAAATGGTAGAATAACTGAAAAAAACGTCGAACTCGTACCAGGGAAAAGTTTGCTTGTTAAATGCGTAGAAGGTGACAATGAAGTTAATGCGTTTGTATACGGCTCAGAAGGTTACTTCATAGATAGATTGAAGCTAGGAAAAAGTAAAATGGTTTTCTCACAATTGTTGTACATTTCTGTATCGAAAGATACGCCATTTAGAGTTGAAGATGATACGTTTACGTTCAAAATAATCTACAAGTTTAATGTGGAGAATACAAAACCCGATAGCCTCGAGAAACAAATGCCATCTCTTCGGTGTTATAGCAGATATTACCAGGTTAAAACCATTCTTCACTATCACACATTACGGAGATTGGCCACAGAATATACGAATTGCGAGGGTACTAAGATTGTAAGTTTAGAATAATACGTTATGTGAAAAATATATCTTAACCAAACCATATGGTGTAATCAAAATCAGGAATGTCTTGAATATGGTTGTAATTTTATAGTTAGATTAATTTAATATTAAACTTAGCAAAGGCAGTTTACACTCGCGTTTCATGTTATATTTTTCTAGAGTTTCTATAAAGCACATATAAAATTAGTCTTTCAAAATCTGTACGACACGTTTTTAGGGTAGGTTAAATCCAAACATTGAACGAAATACGAAACGCTGCACCAGCTGATAGTAGGCCTAGTCATAATATCTTGTTGCCAACTTAATTTCAAGTGTCCACTTATTACGTGCCTAATAAAAACACGCTGTTTTGTGTTGTTTTTGATTTTTTAAACAAAATGGTTTTCTTTAAGGAATGTGCTTTCGATGAGGGCTTGGTCTAGTTTAATTTTTTCAATTCATTGTAACCGTTGACCATAATCTTCTAAAAGTTTTCTTGTATTATTTCACGTTCAATTATTAAATTTAATAAGTTTTCCAATTGCACATGTTATAGGCTATGCAATATCATTGATCCTTGGCTTGAATTTGTAATATTTCTTATTAGGGCAGGCTGGACTGCCAACGTCTCGATATTCTTTAAATTTAAACTTCAATGGAATTTTGTTATAAAAATTGCATACTTTGCGAAGACATTTTGTGAATATGTATTTTGTTTAGTGTAACTTGTTTTTCTGAAACGTAACTTGCATTTCTGAAACTATACTTTATATAATGTTACTTAATTTTTTGTCCCTAATAGTAACTTCTACTTGAACTTGTCCATTGACTGTCTTCGAAATAATTTTATTGAAATCTAATATATGGTGTTTAATATTTGCTGTAAAAAAGGATCAAGGCAACAGTGAAAGCTTCCCCTTTATTATAATGCTGAGTTAATACAGGGTGATTGATATAAGTGTGCCAGCTGTTTTATTCGAAAGTTATAAGAGATATCAATAAATATTAAATTGTAACTGACTTGGATTTTTTATTTTAACAGTTTTTGTCAAGTTGAAAAAATAATTTTAGGTGCTATTTTTTCAATATGGCCACCAACTTTGATCTTTCTTATAGAAGACTCTATATTTTATGAATTTGTTTGAAAGTAAATGCTATTTAAAAACGTTTTTCGAATGGGCATTTTTCTCTCCAACTACCCATTTAGGAGTTACAGCGTGTAAAACTAAGAAAAAATTACATTCTGTGCCATATATCTCCTAAATGAGTAAGTGTAGAGAGAAAATTGTAAGAGTAAATAAGTCTCAAAATTGCATCTCCATTCTAATAACCCTTTAAAATGTTCTGCCATTTGTAAAATGGCGGCCATTTTTGATATAATGGAATCAATATTGTTAATGTTTTTAATTGTCTTTTTAGTATGTAGATGCAATTTTAAGACTTATTTACCATTAGCATTTTCTCTCTAAAGCTACTCATTTAGGAGTTACAGCATGTTAAAACTAAGAAAACTGCGTATATTCTGCGCCATGTAGCTCCTATACGAGTAAGCTTAGAGAGAAAATGCTAATAGTAAATAAGTCTTAAAATTGCATCTACATACTAAAAAGACAATTAAAAACATTAAAAATATTGATTCCATTATATAAAAATGTAAAGAATAAAAACTTTTTAAATGGCATTTAATTTCTAAATAAATCATAAAATATGGGGTCTTTTATGAGATAAATCAAAGTTGGAGGCCTATGGGAAATTATCGGCTAAAATTATTTTTTCAACATGACTAAAATGTAAAAAAATCCAAGGCAGTTATCAGGGTGATGGATAATTACATTTGTTTTCTTGAAATTGTAAGTTTTTCTTGCTATCCTGATACTGCACCGTCAATTGGGAGTACGTTAAAAAACCATTGGCTTTATACACTCAAAAATGCCATTCAAACATGTTTATACATGAAATTTTTCATTTATAAAAATTCTTAAAAAAAAAATATAGTTGGTATTAATCATTTAGTCATTTGTTAACTGTTTGTAATCTAGTTTCGATTCATTAAGCACATTATAGCCATGTATAGCCAGCCACATTTATGCAAGGCGAAATCTCCAAACTGGCTAGGCTGCGCACTAGTCCAGCTGTTGAATGTCGAATATAATTGATACAAAATACAATATAAATGTCAAAGAGATTCTTTGGCTTAATTGAACAATCTATTAATGGTCGCAAATATCACTATCCAACAACCCTCGTCAAAGAGGATATGTCCAATAATCTACCTTTACAATACTTAAATACTTATCTTTGGGCAACTTCCTATAATTTATCATGCTTAGACATGTTTTGTTAAACATATGATATATTACAGTAGCCCACCTCTTACAAAAAATGTACATTATATATTTTTTTCAGGAAAATGAAAGTGATGAAGGTGGTAAGTGTTTACGATTAGAACTATCATGCCATTTTGGACAAGAAGTCAAATATAACGTGTACGGTCTACTTGTTTATTTATGTATTGTATCACCCTGTATTTTTAAAATTAGAATTGTATGAATAGTAATAAATCCAGCTACTCCCCTCCCCTAATCATCATTAATAAATAAACAGACACCACTAAATCCAAGTGCAACAAACCACCTAACAAACCTCGAACCACTCCCACAACCATGCTCTCTCGAAAACAACACCCAACCTACCTTCCCCTAATCAGCGGCTGCGGCAGAATTGCAATTTGTTGTTACACTTTTTCGTTATTTCCACGTATCTGCCGTGGCCACAATCCTTTCCCTGACTGAAGAGGGCGTAGTCCTGAAAAAGCCTCAGTCCAGTAGGGTTTCAGAGCCCTGGACTGGAACTTCAAACAAAACAAATAACAACCTTTAGTCAAACTAAATTTATTATCTACAATTGTTGTTAGGATATACTGTAATTGAGAAATTGTACTTTTTATTTCTTTGATTTATCATATTTCTAGTAAATAACTTCTGGGTTCTATAGATCTGTTATTATAATTGGGAACGTTTAAAATAGATGTAAAAAGATATAATATTTATTCAATTATTAAAATAAATGCACCGTGTTTTATAGTATCCTTATTACCATGGGACCACTACGAAATCATAGAATTTCACCAATATGGTGACCCTTTTGGAGACCCTGTCTTAACCACTTTTGAAAAAACCAATGACGCCCTCACGCTCAAGTGCCAACAATACAACAAGATCCCGGCCGGAGATTCTACAATAGCAACAGGATATATAGTGTATAAAGATATTATCTTGGAAAAGATATCCCTAGACACATGTACGACCGGAGTTGAAGGAATATGTATCAAGGAAAACAATTCATCTGAAGGCAAAGAATTTACACTCTTGTTTAAACAAAAAGATGGAAACTGCTTTAAAATGAACATTTGGTTTACTTATTTGCTTGGTGTCGAAGGGAAAGTTTCTCTTACTCGGGATGCTCCTAGTGGAGTAAATTGTCCAAATGATTGGACTAGTGACGCAGCCTTGGAAGTGGAAGCGCCTTAGTATACAAGATTTACTGACTTTCTTGGATAGGCTCATCTGATGGAAAAGATGAATCAACTAAATAAAAACATGTTGACATATTATTGGCTTATTTACAACCCTAGAATAATTTGTTACAGATTGCAAGGAGAACCTGATACATTAAAAAATAAAATATTAGTTGGATGTTGTTCAAAGGTATATTGTGGACATTTTCCATCACGATTGTAAAAAAGCAATACACAAAGTTTCGGGATCTGGAATCTGATCCCGTCCTTAGGTGAAAAAACTTAACTAATACATTACAACTAAAATTACACAAACGCCCAACCTAAGTTGACTTATACGACCAAAATTGTTTGAAATGTCCGCAATAAAAACTGTTGAAATTCATGTTCTCCATTTAAAGAACAAGTAGATAGAAATATACAACAGTAGCAAGAATGTAGTGGTTTAGTGAAATATAGCCTAGAGCAACTGAAGTTTAACTCGGGTTCAGGACCACGAAATAATTTCCACTGATACACTCACCAACCCTTTAACAAATCATAATACAAATGATAACCGTGCCTAGTACAGTTGGATTGTAAACCATTTTAAAAGTAATTGAAAATCTTTTTATCTCCGCATACCCTATAAAATAATTTTAATATTTATTTACCTGATTTAACTTCCATAGTTAATACAACAACTCGAAATCATTACTTTGTCCAAAAGCACTCTTTTATTTAAATCAGTGTTTATATTGATATATCTTAAAAAAAGTATGGCAGAAGTCATGAAATCGAAACATATTAAAAACAGGAAAGTTAAAATTGGTTAATAAATTAATATGGTTAAGAATAGTTTTAGGGAGAGGTAAAACATTCTTAAAAATTGTGATGTTTATGTTTTGTTTTCAAACCAAAATACACTCACATAGTACAATATTTTCGGACTTCAAAGTGAAATGGTATACATACAACAAGCTCCCATGTAGTGGTATTTATTTATCATCTCAGATATAAAACACACGAATACAAGTAAATACAAAACCTCTTTTTTATGGGTGTTTTTTACAGTTAGTTGATGTAAGAGATTTATGGTGTATATTCTAGACAACATTTTGTCTTCACGTCACCTTATCTCACGTCACGTTTGTACTGGCATTTAAATTGTTTATGGTCCTATCCGCCCAGGTTAAAAATCATTATTGACATTTCAATTACAAAAAGTTCCCTTTTGAATGTAATTTCCAATTGTGGACAGCATTCAATAAGTGTGCATAAAAAACTTACTTACCTATTTAATTAAAAGTTAGGCTAAGATTTTAATTTTTTATTAGTTGTTTTTTGTGTAAACGAATGATTACTTTTCTTCGAAGAGTAAATACAATACACACTATACTACACATATTAAAGCGAGTACAGGGGTGTTAATAGCAAAGGTGCAGTTAACTCTCTTATTCATTTTTACAACACCCCAATTTAATTTACTGAGAAATGTTATACTTCATACATTTTTTAATCAGTCAAAAGTAATAAAATTGCTTTATTACTCTACTTAAAACGTAAACTTTTTTAGGTCCAATGTAGAACACGAATAGTAAATTAGATCTATTCACCATATGATTTACTATACATCATTGGCCTACCAAGTGGTTCTCTCCTATCCATAGGTTCGTGTCATAGTTCATATCGAATCTATATTGTATGTACCGATTGTCATTGTAGCTTAAAGGTTTGATTATGGTAAACATAATCAATTAAAGATTAATTCTGATCCCATTAAATATAAGTTGATTGAATAGTACCATTACTATTTCGAGGCCAAACCGAGGTAGAAAATTGAGCAAGGCCTCCCATTGCTCGCGTGGTGAACTATATTTTTCAACTTACTGCATATAGGCTTAGTCACAACAAGTTTTCAATTTTTTTACGTGTATGAATTGTTTACCGTAATGGCTCCTTTCCTATATTGCTATTATAAAAACTGTTACTGAAAATAGATGCAATATGTACTACCCTATCGTCACAACAATGCATTATTTATTAGATTTTTAACTCTTTTTAATCTGTATAATCAACGATTGTACGATTGTTAATACAGGTATGTATAATTGAAATAGGCAATAAATTGCAATGGCTTTAATAAAACATAAAACAGAAATAAACCTTAAGGCCTACAATACACAGTTTATTAAAACAAAACTTTCTAGAAATATTTGAAGTAAATACAATTTTCATTTGTTTTGATTTATACTGACTTATAAGAGTTTTTTTTTTATTCCTTGGTCGGATTTCGAGTTTAAGTAAGAAAATAAATTGAACCTGCAAAAATATAAAGACCGGAAAAGTCATTTCACCTAAACATTTGAACCTTTGCCAACTCCTGCTAGCGTGGCGGTAAATGAAATCCTGAAACAGTGAATTACAACACTTACTTTTCTGACACATTGATATAGCTAGAAAATATCTTATAATTATTCTTATAACGTAATTGTTTTGACTACTTATCTAATAGGACAAAGGGTTTTCCAAATATTTATTTCAATTAAATTGAATGTGCTAAATGTGTCACTAAGTAATAAAGATGAGTTAGATTAGGTCAAATGGGTATTATTTGACAAGTGGTTGACAATGGTTGAAAGTGGTTTGTACATCATTTGTGTGTTATAAAATAATATTTAAGTCTCATTACAGACGAAATATCGACAGAGATGCTAACAAGGTTGACATAGCTTTTGATGTCACGAGATACCTTTGATGTCATCTGATGAAATTGTTAAAGGTTGAGCAATTCGTTCGCCTCTTATCAGTTGAATATCAAGTTTTAGTTTATCCATGAACTTTCTATAGTATGATGACATTTTAGGTTGTAGTATAATACGTACATAACAGTTCATTTTACTTCTTAAACCAACAAAGTATTCGGAGTTGTCTTTTCATCTGACATTGATTAAAACGGACAAAACAAAAGATTATATTGCATTACTGAGCCGTGTTAACAGAAAGTCAAGACAGTTTATCCTGCTTTCACAAATCCTTTGCGAATCCTAGAGTCAGTTACAACATGTTGAAACACTTCGTTCAAGGTTAAGAGATAAGATATCTCCTTTAATTTATAATAAGTTTTACATTTTACTAAATTGCTGTTTCATTTTTTTTAAATATTTGTTGTGTTGACGAAATCAGTTTTTAGTACTTTGAAATATAATCTAAGGGGCGCTCAAATTTACTTTGATCCATTGTTGCTTGAAATTTAAGAAAACAATGATTATCGAATCCGTAAAGCTCTTATTTAGGTCACCAAATAAACAAAGATATTTAATACAAATACAAACTAAATATTTCATTTTAGTATCATCATACAAACGCGTGTTCATTGAATTCAACTACTTTAAACAAAGCTTTTTTCCAACAACTGAAATGTGAGCTACAAACTTACTATACTATACTTACTATACTTGTAAACGTATATCAAATAAAATATTAATAAAGCTAGAGACCATTCTTTGAAGCTTTTGTACTTGAGACGACAGACAAGAGCCTCTCATGGAGATTATCTCTGTACTAGAGACTTGTCAGGCGGTCACGTTTGAAGATTTTATCAAACATCTTGCATTTCTTCTCATAAGAAAGGTGCACTTTAAAACATGGAATGTATAAACAAAAACTTCACAATCTGTGTAAGAAAAATATAACATATCGAGGTTGAACCTCAATATGTAAATATTAGACTAGCAATTGTTTTATAAAATAAAAAATCACTGTTAACAAAAGAACTGATATGCAAATGCTAAATGCTTACTGAAACAACTAAAAATAACGAATAAACTCGTATACAACATTTTAAAATAAGAATTTACTCATTTAACGTAACTATTACTACATGTAAAATAGGTAGTCATTTACATGAAAGAGGGTTATTGCAAAAACATGTTTAAAAATCGTAGCATTTGTATACTCGTATAATAACCCTTAACCGAACCGTTGTTAATACTTTTAATTTGATAATTTTCCTTAAAACAGGTCAGTACAATTTAGACAACAAATATTCCAATCATAAAACAAGAGAACAATCATAAAATATAAGTTGTAATATTTGACACACGTCTTTGTTTCTGGAGATACTTTTAAACCATTTTCTAAAAAAAAAACATTTACATACTCCAATGGCGTTGAATCACACATTCACACACACACACACACACACACATACGGGGTTTTACCGAATACTCGCAAACACCTAATTGTGGCATCTTTCAACCTGCGGCCACCAGTGGATGAAGGAAGGTGGTAGAAACATGTCTGCATCGATATTTTTAATGAACACTCCATTTTAACATCTAACATTCCAGTTTTTAAATTGTGGCACCATGCCACAAATCGGTATATATCATCAGTGTGTGGACAGGATGCCACTAATGCGTTGTAGTGCTTGAGCGGTGTGTGCGCCCCCCCTACTTCTCGCGTGCGCTGTTGCCAGTTCTCCGTTCTAGTTCCTTCATTCCGTTCTGTATTCATGTGGCTATGCCCTAGCCGCTGTAGCTAATTTCCCGCGCTCATGACGTCGTCTTTTATTAGTGTAAGGATTTTATATGAAGTTTTTTTCAAAGCTCCATTAATTTTTACAATTATTGGATTTAAAGTCAATGGACCAAATGAAATGTCGTGAGGATTACATAAAACTACATGGTATTTTGTTGATATTTTATCGTTACATTGTATGTATGGTTTACGAACTGAGATACTTGGAATAAAGACCTTAATGTGCTGGGTAAATTATCAGTTTCATGGGAATATACAAGAAATCTATTCTATCTATATATTAATTACGTAAGTCGATTCTTTGCGTCAAAATTGTGGGCGACTGGGAAGTCGTAGAACGACGTGAGAGGGCTCAAATTAAAGGTCTTTATCCCGTGACGGTGGGGAAAGCTGATCGTGATTTTATGGGTCCGCGGAATTGGCTAACTCTGGAACTCGCTAACCCCATGTTAAACGCCCTATCTTCAAATTTGGTCGATGAGAGGAACTCGCTAACTTGTTCGGTTTCGGAATTGGCTAACTCCGGAACCCGCTAACCCGCTCTAGAGCCGGGTTAGCGAATTCCGTCCT